TCTCTCTCTCTCTCTCTCTCTCTCTATCTCTCTCAAAATAAAAATTATTTATTAGATAACAGAAATGTTTGAAATCATAACAACAATAAATGTCCATAAAATTGAAGATAGAGTTAAAGTATATTTAATATTTTAAAATCAAAATATAATGTTTTATATTAATTAATTTGTTTTTTAGATTAACTCCATATTAAATATACAGCAAAATCAACAGACATTTAACGCTTCAAACTTTTTCAATATTAATAAATCAATATTTCTATCGGTTTGTATTAAATCGTTATTTCATTTTCATTTATTTAAATTTTTATTTTATTATAATTGTTAATTCATATGAATCTAATAATAGGTAACCGGGATTTCAATTTCATATTCACTGCTTTTAATGCAAAATATAAACAGCAATTAATTTACTCATTACTGTAAATCTATTGTAAATTAATTTTATTTAAATCATTTTAATTGTAATTATATTTATATTATGTAATTAAGGTTTTATATATATAAACACTTAGTTTAAATAAATATATACTTAACCATATAACAAATTAGATAAATTATTTCATAGTAATTAACTAGAGCTGTTAAGTATTATAATTGAAACTTTTCCATTATAATAATTCAATTACTGTATATTTAATTAATTTTTATTTGTCAATACTGTCATCAAATTTTATGATCGATGAAATAATTACAATTAACTTACATTAATCAATATCATTTATTATAGACACACATGCCATACATGGCTATCACTGGGTGTCATGGCTAGTTATTATTCACAAAATTAATGTAGTTACAAGGAAATTAAATTGCTTTTCACATGAATTTCAAATATTTGATATTAATCTTTTGGGAATCAGACTATTTATATATAATTTATCCGTAAAGTAAACTTTTCCATAAATATAATTATAACAATAAATATATTGACATTTACTATGAAACATCTATTACTTATATTACGTATAAAGTGTTCACAAAGTATTGTACATAACGGACAGTCGACAAACCATACATGTTATATGTGTTAGTAATAAAGGATATTACTATATGTTTAATAAAGTGATAAATTATAACATACTAAATATTGTTTTTTAATATAAATGCTAACTTTTTATATATTACTGACTCCGTATAAACCGATTGCTACAACATTAAATAAAACATAAAAATAAAAATGATCCTGGTCGAGAAACCGAAAGTTTTACCCACCAAACCCGCGTCCAAAAGTAGAAACACCGATGGCTTCAACACATTGGTGTCATTTCACCGGTTGGCGGGCATACTATACCTGGGCTACGGACCCAACCAGACACTCATCAAAAAGACCATATGGTTAGCCTACGGCACAGCGGTCTGGGCCATAGTGGGCATCACAAATACACCTTGCATGCTTGAGTGTTTCTTACGCAAAAGTGAATTCACCAACATCATTGGCTTTTACGTGTTTAACACTATGTTTACCATATTCAACGTATGCAACCTGATAAACGCCCTGGTGGTCACTGTACGGGGCGGTGACTTTTACCGACTAATAACTAACCTACAAGAGTTTACTATTGATGGTAAATCGCTGAGAAAACTACGAATCGGTGTTTACATGTATATTATGCTATCGTTTTTAATGATGGTGAGAAAAGTGACCATGTTCAACTTCACGTTTGACTTGTCTTACCCAAAGTTTTCTGGCTTTAATTGTCTGAAAATCTTTGAGGACTGCGCGACGGAAGTGATGACAGACAGCACCGGATTTTTGTTGATTTATTTTAGCTATTATTTAACGCTAATTATCGTAGAGTTTACGCAAAGTATCCGCCGATCAGACGCCGGGAATGTGGACGATGTCCGGCGCCAAGTGGTCAGAATTGAGACCATGATTAAAGTGGCCAATCGGCTGTTGAATCCGTGTCTTTTGCTGGTGTTTACGATAAATATGTTTATATTAATTATATTTTGCTTTTTGATTCATAATCTCATTAATATTGAGTCCAAGTTCTCGGTTCGGGTCGTTTGGCCACTTCTGGTCATATACGCGGTCCGTATGTTTGTCTGGTGTGTGTTTGTCGATCGGCTTAACCAAAAGGTATTGTGCTTTTTGTGTATTAAATTATATAATGTTTTTTGTTTAAAATACATTTGTTTTTTATTTTAATACAAGAATAAAGAGATGTTTGAAAATATATCGCAAATTCCTGCCAACAATATGGAGGAAAAGCTTAATGTATGCAATGTTTTTGTGATTGTAATTATGTTTAATTTACAATTGTAATCAATTTATATGTTTTAGATCATGTTCATCTTAAGTCTGCAACAAAATCAGCAAACATTCAATGCGTCCAACTTTTTCAATATTAATAAATCGCTGTTTTTATCGGTAAGTATTGATTGTAATAAAACTTATGCTAAAACCTGTGTTCATTTGATTGAATAATGTTTTAATTAATTATATTAACAGGTAATCGGTGTCTCCATAACATATACATTGCTTTTTATCCAAAGTGTTGACAAAGTTTAAATTGCTATAAAATGTAATTCAACGTAATTTTTTATGAAGTTAGCAGATATTAATCCGACATAAATTGTATATTCAGTCAAATGTTTTGTATTTTATAACAAGTTTTAAACAATCATTCGGTTTTATAGGAGTGATTGTAAAATTGCAATTTTTGAGTACCGGTTTCACTACTGGCGGCAATGGCACCAAAATTACAATCACTACCATATTGTAGATCATTAACAAAGCAATTTATTTAATTGTATATAAATCGCGTGTTTATAGCAGTATATTAAACATAATGTTTTTTGATTTACTAATTATCACTAACTTTAATAATAATGCACTACAATGTATCTTAATATAAATTACAACTACTTTCATGTTTAATCTAATTATATTATATAAATTGATGTTGTTATTGATTATAAAATTTTAAAAATACAGAAATTTATACTTGCGTAATAATTATGTATTTAATTTATAAATTTAATGAGAGAGAGAGAGAGAGAGAGAGAGTGCTATATTGAATTTTAAAATGATTAAAATATTTAACAAATAATATAAATTATAAACTTCATATCCACAAAAACGGTTTATAATAAATAGTTACCAACAATAAAACCTTATTTTTATGTTTGGCTATCCTTTCGATCAGATTCTGTCAAAATAAATATTTAGAGAGAGAGAGAGAGAGAGAGAGAGAGATGTCAAACCTGTTCATTCATATTGTCAGCAAACGAGCACCAAATAAATATCCTGACAATCAGTATCACAAGCATTGGCCACACATTTTCAATGGAAAATCTCGAGTCATATTCCGACAAATTTTTAATGAGAAACGAAAAAATAATTAAGAAAAATATATTGAAAGTAAAAACCAAAATCAAACACGGATTCAACAGATCGTTGGCCCGTTTGATGAGCGCCTGGAGTCGAGTGATCCGCGCGAACAGCTTATCGTAATCCAGGCCACGGATCAGCTCATCGGAAGCAATACACTTCCGTAACTTATCGTTCAAATTACCCACAATTCCCGTAAAATACACACAGAAGTATATCATCAAAATCCCTGTCGAGTCTGTCATCACTTCCGTCGCAAAGTCTTCGACACCTCTAATGATCGTCACATACGATAACTTCATGTGAAATACGGTGTACCGCCGGACCGATAGGACTATCGTAAACATCATATACAGGGTTAGCAGTACTTTCAGCCGACGATGGGTGCCCTCCCGGATCGGCAATTCACGCATACTGTCCAACAGGTGCTGAAAGTGACGGCCTCTAAATGTATAGACCACCGCAGAGATGATGTCAAAGATGGTAAACGTGACAATCATTATGTGAAACATATAGTATGTCATCGGGTTCTTGAAGTCATCCTTGTCCAGGAAACACGTGAGCAAACACGGAGTGTTGGCCACTATTACTATTGACCATATGGTGAAAGCGTAGGCAAACCAGGCGACTGTCCGATAGGGTGACGATTTGGGCCGTCCGTAACCCATGTATACGATGCCCGACAACCGGTGAAACGTAACCAATATATTAAATGTGTTGTCCATTTGTTGTACACGTTTTGCCGGTTTATTGCTGTCATTCATCGCTATATTCATCGGTATTTTTAATACAGAATATTCTGTTTTTATAACAAATATTACTTATTTATTATTTTCACAAATATTTTTTGTTAACATTAGGACAATAATTAAATAAAATTCTACAACTCTTACAAAAAAAAATATTTTTATTACTTTAATATTAAACAGAATATTCTCAGTTGTTTGAAACTGATATTTATTATGAAATAAATAATTATATGAAATAATACTCTATTAATGTCTAAAATTGACATTTGTTTTGTGCACTTTGTTTGGTGTGTACACAATAAATAAAAAGTTAATTTATAGATCCATTATCTCAATGACTGCTACATTAAGGTATACCTAATTAAATAAATATTTACCATAGTTTCGCAATAAAAAAAGTGCAATCTTTACTATGTTTAATTATAATTATTAATTTTTAATTAGATTTAAAGTATGTTTATTGGAAAACAATTACAAGTTTACATATTGTGCTAAAAATTAAACAATTATTAATTAATTTATTATTTACTGCTTCAATCATTTAGTGCTAATTTTGATAAACATTTTGTATTAATATCAGTGAATAAGACGTCGAGACACCGATTACCTGTGAATTATAAATATTATATTTTAAAAATGTATACAAAAATAGTTAAAAAGTATATTTTTATTTATTACCGAAAGAAATAAAGATTTATTAATATTGAAAAAGTTTGAAGCGTTGAATTGCCGCTGATTTCGCTGTATATTTAGTATAGCATTTATCTAAAATCATGATAATTTATATTAATTAAATGATCAATCACAATAATTAAATAAATAGCAACATTTATAATGTTTTTTTGTAAGATTGTTACATTATTATGTTTTTTATAATAAAATCTACCTTAATCCTTTCCGAAAAATTGTTTGCCTTAATTGTTGATATGATCTCAAATGTCTCCTTATTCTTAAAGCAAACAAAAAACAGTTACAAATTTAATTAAAATAATTAATTAAATACTAAATACCCTTTCATTCATAATATCGGCGAACAGACACCAGACAAACATCCGTACGACCAGTACTGCCAAAAGTGGCCATAGATTTTGAAACCTAAATCTCGTGTTATATTTGGATAAATATGTGAATATAAATGAAGCCATAATTAGGAAAAATATGTTGAAAGTGAACACTAATAGCAGACACGGACTCAACAAAGTGTTGGCCCTTTTGATCAGTAGCTGAAAGTTGACAATCCGTTTGTATAGCATATCGTAATCCCAATCGTGTGTCCGGTCTTTGATGGCCAGCCGTAACGAGTCGTTCAATTGTCGGCTAATTTCGGCAAAATATATACAGAGATATATCATTAGAAAACCCGTGGAGTCGACCATCACTTCCGAGCAAAAGTCTTCAATATATTTGATCGCATATAAGGCGTTATCAAAGCCCAAGAGAAACATCTTTCTGGTGGACATACATATGGAGATCAATATATAGATAGTTATCGATAGTTTCAGTTTAAAGTTGGCTGTCTTTGGCACCGGATATGACCGACAACTGGCCATCAGTTGCCTAAACTCGTCGCCTCTAAACGTATAGACAACGGCCGTAAAGATGTAATAAACGGTAAAAGTAATAAACATGCCGTTCATTAAATAGTATAACCATTTCTGGCCAAAGTCATCGACAGTTAGAAAACATGTGATCAAACAGGGAGTGTTGGCCAACACTATGACTGTCCATATGATGAACGCCCACCCGAGCCATAACACTGTCCGCACTTTACCCGCTTTGGGCGACCCGTAGCCGACGTACGCGATGCCCGACAACCGGTGAAACGTAATCAATGTGTCAAATGTTTTCACACAATTGTCTGAATTTTCATCAATCATTTTATTTTATTCATACTTTTCATAACATTTTAGTTAAATATTTTTTATATAATATATTTTTGAACTTCAATACACTGTTTCACATATTATTGTATAAAATCTATTGCAATAAATGGTTAACAAAAGTGTATAAATTATAACATATGAAACTCGTGCCTAAAAGTAGTTTATTATACAAACATTAATACCAATTAATTTGAGTGTAATATCAATAATGAAAGTCAATGTGTTATCTTAACTAAAGTTTTTATTATTTAGTGTACGGTATAATACCTTAATTAAATAAATATTGATATTTGTAATTCTATTGGTATGTTTTATGTAATATAATTAATTTATAACCATTGGTGTTAATACAGTAATGTATTAATACTAAAAAAATTGTTTGATGTAATTAAATTGTGTCTCAAACTCATGTCTTAAGCATCTATTATTTTAAGTATCTTAAGAATAATACTAATATTAATCCGACATAAATTGTAATTTCAATCAAATGTTTTGTATTTTATAACAATAATTAAATTGTTATGAATGTCTTATTATCATTCGGTCTTATAGTAGTGATTGAAAAATTGCAATTTTTGAGTTGCGGTAACACCATTGGCGTCATTGGCATCTAAATCACAATCACTAACGAAACTATTTATTTAATTGTATATAATTTATAATATAAATCGCGTGTTTATAGTATTATATTAAACATAATGTTTTTAGATATACTAATTATAACTAACTATAATAATAATGCACAATAATGTATTTTATCTATAATATAAATCACAACTAATTTCATGTTTAATCTCATTATATTATAGAAGTAAACTTTATTATTGACTATAAAGTTTTGTTAATACAGTAATTTATACTTGCGTAATAATTCTGTATTTAATTTATAAATTAATTGTTAAAATGAAATGAGAGAGAGAGAGAGAGAGAGCAATTATTTTGACATTTATATAATATTCCATTAGTCCATAATACTAATTAAAATACACAAACTATTATGGTACAATTATTAGGGATTTGCCATTAAAAATAACATCATTATAATAAATACATTTACGTTACTACATAGTTTATAATTTTAGCTTATAGTATCGTTTAATATAGATATTTATATACTGTATATTTAGAATAATAATATAAAACACAATCAAACACAAAGTTAATATTGTTATTATAGAAATGAATTTAAAAACTGATCTAGATCAACCAATAGCTCATGGACTGCGATTGATTGGTGCGGATCAACATTTCTATCGCATTGGTTTATCATTATATAAATCCGAGAACTCGCATATAAAACGTGCTAAATTACTTCATCCGGTAATTGTATTAATTGGTATACTAATGATGATGTTTAGAAATCTAGCTCTTTTATTCATTTATGCTAAAGGCATAAATATGCCCGATGTATACTTATTATTATTACCATTACCCATAGGATTAGCATTGCCATAAACTTAGCATTAGCCATGTTATTCCTATGCCATAGATTTAGCATTACTCATGTTATCTCTATGCCATAGACTTAAGCAGTAATCCCATAAAA